CTGGTTGATAAATGGCAAGTGTGAGCACAGGCCTGCAGACACAGCACTGTCTTCTGCGTGCATGATCAGACATGATAATGCAGGAAAGCAATTTTCCTGGTGTGGGGGAAGAGGGAGAAGGAGTGGAATAAACTAGAACCTGAATCTTGAACAAAGGCTCAGTCCCATGACTGCCTCAGCTGAGGCATCATAGAGAGTAAAAAACTCTTTTGAAAGGTCATGAAACCCAGTTGGCCGTTGACCCAGTGGCCACTTCCTCTAGCACCAGGGGAATGCTGTGTGCCAGGTGCCAGCTACGTGTTCCCTGAGCTGGGCTGCAAGGCTTGCTCTGTTTTTGGACTTCCCTCTGCCCCGGAGGAGCAAGGGAAGGTTGAACAGGCTCTTAACTTTACAACTCTCCTCTGTGAGGGGCAGAAGGAGCTGGCAGCAGGGAGCTGTATTTGCATTTGCACTTCCCTGAGCAGCTAAAACCAGACTGCACATGCATTCTTCCTCTTCTGATGCTCATTACTTTCTGAGCTGCAACTTGTTGGTCTTGGTCTTGTTTGCAGCCTAAGGGAGACCTCCTAACTCTAGGAAAATCACATTTGGATGTCAAAACAATATAGGAGTTTTAAAAGGATACTGTTTCCAGTTGGTATCTCAGCTATCTTCTCTCCTTCCCCTCTCACGCTTGGTCAAACTTTGTGTTGAGTTTGAAGGGAGACATTTGAGAGGAAAATGCAAGGGAAAAGCTATACCAGAGGAGACTGAAGTCACTGTTTAGCAAATGTGTAGCAAGTGATATCAGTGTCCAGAGCAAAGATGAATTCTTGGCAGTCTGTTTGTTGCAATATTAATAATGTGCAGATCTGAAACTTGCTTAGCCATTTAAGGCTAAAATGTTGATCTGAGTGTGGCTGCTAATGCAGGAATGACTAAATCTGCTCTCAGAGGGACACAGAAGGTTATGTAAGGTAAAAGGATTCCCCTGTGTGACTGTAATTGGTATTTGTCTTGTGAATATTAGCAGGTTCTGTCGGTTCTGTCTGTCGTTAGAGGACTGTGGTTCTTAAGTTTGGGATGCTGCTCCTTATGGCATTACCAAAGACAACCATGGAAAATTTTCAAGGTGTTTCAGTCTTCACTGAAATGAATAGGGGCTGTGTATTTAAATCTGCTAGTCCCCGTATGCTGTGCAGATAAAAAACGGAACAACCTCTCTCGAGCTGCTGGCAGGCACTAAACTGCATGACTGCGCTTATTGCTAGTTTGGGTAGAGCTGGAGGAAGCCAAGCTGACCTAGCTGTAGCTGTTCTGGATAGAAAAGGGCCTTTGCATGCTTCGCTCTTGTTTCAGCATGATAAAGGTTGCTTCTTATCAGCTGGGACTGGCCTTATTTTGCAAAAAGAAGGGCAGCTGCACTGGGGGCCAAGTTTACATCTTTAAACAAAGCTTCTTTCTCACTTTGCCATTTCACTAGTTTGTCACTCATGGCTTCCTTACCAGGAAGATGTGCAGAGCTTGATGCTCTCTCCTGCCTGTTGGAGGCACAGAGATCATTTTAGCAGGCTCCTGTGTCCCCAGTCCAAGTATATCTCACCTCAAGAGAAGAGTATCTCCCTCCCTCATGTCTTGGCACAATGGGCTGGTGTCCATATCCCTCCTGGATCTGGAATGATCTCGTTTCTAAAGAAAACTGCTTCTCCTGGCTCTTTGCCCAAGGGATCCTTTCTTCTGCCAACTCCAGCTCTTGTTTAGCATTATTTCTTTTTAATTAAGTGCGGTCCTGTGACTGGCATTGCAGGATTGGCTTGGAACAAATTACCTGAAAACTGGCACCTGGGCTAGCAGAGGAACAGTTCATGTGCCAGAAGAGCAGAGGCGGACAAGATGGAGGAAGTCGTGTTTCAAGTGGGCATGCATGCTCATCCTCAACTTTCTCAAGTGCTGATTTGGGGCTGAAGCTGGCCCTGCTCTTTTAATCTATTGGTCCTGAGTTGCCTGTTGTGACCCAAACTTACCAGTTTAACCTGACAGTTCTCCCCGTTTCCATCTCCACATCTGACCCATAGTATCCTCTGTTCACTAGAACTGTCAGCCTTCTCCAGGCCATCCAGGCTACAAGAGCATTGACCCAAATGAGCTACCAAGTCCCCTGTTTGCACACGGTTCCTCATCTATGTGACACCCACTGTGGAGTCCACACCAGCCAGGACTATATTCCAGGCTTATGCAATGCAACGAGGACCCTGACAGAGAAAGCTTTTGGCTCAACATGTTACCTAACCCCCCAGCATTTTCAGGCAAGCATGAGGTAGACTTTCAAAGCAGTCCTGTTAGATAGATTGCATCCTAATTACTGCCTGTCACTTGGAGCTGTTCACCTGACAATATCTGACACCTCCAAAGGCCTGCTCATTGTGTGGCCCAATAAACAGACCCTTGTTTGAAGCAACAAGTCGAGAGTTTTCTAACTACTGGAAATCCTCTGGTGATGTACCTGGCAAAAGATGGAAAGGTCAGTGCATCCCATCTGGCTTTTCCCACCCTCCCTTCCAGCCACCAGCGCTCAGTAGCTGTCCTGGCACCTCCTGAGCAGTTTAGACCCACTGCTCAGGTGAGTGCATGAGTTTTAGGGAGTGCCAACAAAGGAGCGATGGCAGAGATGTTAATATGGAGTAAATGCCATTGTGGCAGCTGCTTGCAACCTAGCAGTGCTGGCCCTGGCTAGGAGGAGAAGGCCTGCCACATCCTACCAGAAGATTGCTAGGAAGTTAGGCTATCTGCAGCTGAATTTGCCACAGTTTGGGATGGAGCAGAATTTGAGTGAGGCCTGGCATTGGGCTTGATTTGCCACTGGCTCACCCACTACTATGTCCTTGAAGTGACTGATTTCAAGTCACAGACTCCATTTGCCTGTGAATGTAGACAAATGTGGAAATATGTAGAATTCACATTTTTTAAAAAGCATATCTTTAAAAAGATGTCTTCTTAGTAGGAAGACATGTGCTGGAACATACCACGCTTTATCATTTTTCTCTATTGACTTCATTTGTGAAATGCAGCCAGCTCTGGCACTGTTAAATTGATACAGACAAATCTATTCTAGTAGGTGTGTAAGATTGTGAAAAACTTGCTGGTCTTTTCTTGTTTTTCTATTTTCATTGAAACCAGTCTGTCTTTCCAAAATAAGATTATTTTTTTTTGGTAAAACATTTGCATTTCGGCGAACTCTAAGCTAAAAAACCCCAAGACTCGAAAATGTTTTGCTTTATTTGCAGGTCTTTTCTCATCTCCCTT